TTCTCATATGAATAAATGTATGTACATACATAATATTTGCATATATTTTATATTGTTTTATATATGGTTAGAAAAATATGTTTTAAAAACTAAATCCTGATAAACTTTTATTTCATAAAGTACTTACGGATGATTTGATTTTATAGTTTCCAGAGTATGATCTTTACTTTTAAACAACAACTTCCTTATTTACTTTTTTCACCTGGGAAGTCGTTTTTTTACACATAGAAAATCGTTAGAAGATTCAGTTACCTGACCACTACTTTCCTAACCTAGCCGGCAGGTTTGTACAAGTTACAGAGTGTAACTCACTATTTGCCTTTGTAAACAGTGACTAGAGGACTTACATTTCAATTTTAGCTGAGCATTTAAATATTTTTTTTAAATGCTTTCTTATTATTTTCTTCTTAGAAGTCATTGAAAACTGTTCTTATATTTATTTGTAAGGACTGAATATTTTCTTGAGATCAATCAAAATGCAACATCACCATTTTAAAAGACCACAGCCTTTGTTCCTTGGCATCCTCTAAGTGCGGGCTATCAATCCAATACAAATGTCACTTCCTAAAGGAAACATTTTCTTCATTGTCCTTGATAAAATGAATATTGAAGAACAGACACTTTCTGTACCTCTAATGCTTTGACAATAGAAACACTGCTTTCCTTTTGGAAACAGGAAACTACACCTTTAAAGTTAACAATTCTAGAAATCTATAAACTGAGCTTATTTGCATTTGTAGACATCAGTTCTTCCCAATGTCATTTCCTTGGGAAATATGCAGACCCTGAAGATACAAGTCTTTAAAATCAAAAAGATCAAAATCCATTGCTATTCCAGCATGCTCATGGACATCCCAAACTTTAGCTCTTCATTTACTAAGTTTTATAAGAGGGGAAAGAATTTACTCTAACAAGGGAAAAACAATTTTAAAATTATTGGGCAAGTTGAAAATTATGTACACTCCTTTATATCCAAAGTAGAAGAAATGCTTGATTTTTTTCTGATCCCATTCACACAGTTGCCCTAAACATAAGCCAGGTCTTCTTCAGGGGGGAGGAAATTCATCATGTAGTTTTTGAGAGTCTTGTGTAATCTATGAAAACCAAGTCATAGACTCCCCTGTGGGGCAGGGGAGGGTCGTGTCCATCTGTCCTCCAGATCCATTTACTGTGCTTACAGCAGTCAGGTAAGACTCAGATGGAACATCCACTTGGGATAATTGAAGAAAATTTAATATGGAGACTTTTTACAAAAGTGTGGGCAGAAGGCAGAGAAAACATGAACAGAGCAATATCCTCAGGTTGAGAAATGGTAAACGTTTGAGGAGACGGATATGCTTGACCTGATTTAAGCATCTAACAAAGCATGCGGGACCAGTCCCCAGGGACATAGGGAGAAGGATGGAGAGGAGCTCCGGAGAGGAAGATGAAGGACGGCCAGCGAGTCCTCCTCTGCCCTGCTCTGCAGGGTGGGAGGCTGGCCACACCATCTGCACTCACTGGTTCTTACTTTCCTAGCTGTGTTCATCTGATAAAGTCAGAAGTCAGACGGAGAGGGAAGTCAACGTACTTATCTGCCCTCCCTATTCCTGGTCACAGTCTTGACAGTAGCCACGTCCCTCTACCAAAGGCCCTGCTTTCTGTTAGGCAGCTCCTGTCTTTGGCTTCAGTAACATGATTCCCACCCCTTGCTCCTTAAGGCTTAGGGGAAATAATATCTCCTTCCTGTTATTGGTTCCCAGGTGTGTTCCCATCCCTTTTGTTTCCCATGACCCTGCCCACATCTCTATCAAGTGACTACATGCTTTTACACTTAAAGACTTCCTTCTGTTTTCTTCTGGAGCCAGAGTTGATATAATAATGCATTTTATACACATTTTGCCTGAAAGGATGCCTAAGCCATCAAGCATGCCCCTCACGAGTGGATCTTTAGAGAAACAGAAGCAATGTGGTGGGGGGGATAGTCATACATGATAGACAGATAGAAACTGGCTTATGTGATTTGGTATGTGACAAGTTTCAAAATCTGCCATCTGCAGAAATCTAGGAAAGTTGATGGTATAATGCAGCCCAAGTCCACAGCCTGAAAACTAGGGAAGCCAATCGTGTAAATCCAAGTCCAAGGGCAGAACATGAGACGAGATGTCCCAATTCAAGTAGAAAAACAGGAAAAATAAAAAGCAGGGGAAGTGAATTCTTCCTTCCTCCACATTGAGTTCCATTCAGGCCCTCAACAGATCAGCTGAAGACATCCACAGTCAGAACAATCTGCTTCAGTCAGTCCACCAGTGCAAACGCTAGTCTCATCTGGAAACACACTCTTGGATGCATCCAGGAATCATTTCTAATCTGTGCACCCCTGGACCCAGTCAAATTGACGCATAAAATTAACCATCGCAGGTGGGATCAGTGTAAAGAGACTGAGTCTTTTGGAAATGCTCAGTTCTCTCTAGATGGATAGGGAAAGATAACTCATCCACAACTTTCAGCAAGGGAACTGAGGGTAGCAACAAGTTTTCCATCCCTGGACATTTTTAGCATTGGAGGGAAGCCCACAGAAGAGAAAAGAGCACCATCTGGAGGATGGGAAGGGTTAAACTAGACATGTAACCTCCACAATCTATTTCAATCCTAAAAGTCTCTTATTTTCCCTTATTGTTGGCAGTTATTTCAAAAACCAAGACAATGAGTGCTTGAGTTTTGGCTTGAGTTTTGCCAAAAGCAGACACTGACATGAGGATTTGCATGCTAGTAGTTCATTAGAGGAGTGATCCCAAGACCAACTGTGAAAGGAGTGAATGGAAAAGTCAGGGAGGAAGGAGCAAAGCCAAAAAAATCATGTGTTCATGGGTGTGCTACTACTGGGGGCAACCAAGGCTGGATTGTGTTGAAGAAAGATGAAACATACCCCAGAACTAGCCTTGTTAGTGGGAGAGCAAGGAATTTTGAGTAATTATTCAGCATACCCATATTTTATTGGTTAATAAAATGTCCTGGGGTATTAACTTTCCAGAACCTTTGGCCTGCCCCCACCAGAGTATCCTCAGGAAGAGAGAAGAGAATTATCTGTAGATATGGACACTGTCTGCAGATGTGCACAGTCCAGAGTGGACCAAGGGGACAGGGCTGGGGCATCAGCAGTCTTTGCTCTTGGAGGTTTGGATATGATGCCTCTCCCCCATGTCTCTAGGCTCTTCTAGGGAGTTGGCACCATTTCTAGGAAGTCAATAAAGAAATGGAAAATTCCATCCTCTGTAAGAGCCAGTTCAACGTGTCCCCAAGAGAACCATGCACTAGGGCTTGGTCAGCTAACTGTTCCTGCTCAGCTGCCTCTTATTACTTCCTTCAACACAAGTGGGTTCACGGCATTCAACTTTTCAAAAAAGCTGTTAGGTGATTTTATGGAGCTGGACAAAATAATGCTAAAGTTCATTTGGAAAAACAAACATGCAAGAATAGCCAGAAAAATTAAAAAAAAAAATTACAAGGGAGACTCACCCTAACAGACATTAAAGTGTGCTTTAAAGCCTCTCTAATTAAAACACCGTGATAACATGAAGAGACAAACAGGTCAGCGGCACAGAAGAAAAAGACAAAATTTAGACCCTAATGCGTAAAGAAATTTAGCATGTGACAAAGGTGGCATTTCGAAGCACTAGAGTTAAAAACGGACTGTTTCATAAATTATTCTGGGACAAACCAAGTAGCCTTTGGGGAAAGTATAAAATTAGGTCTGTATCTCATGCCATTCACAAGAAAAAAACTCTAAGTGTATTAGGAATGGCAGCATAAAAAGTGAAACCATAGAAATATCAGAAGAAAGTGCAGGTGAAGTCCTATGTAATCTTGGGGTTAGGAAAAACCTCCTAACATCAACTCAAAAGTCATAGGAAACGAGACAAAAGATTGACTGATACATTTTAGACGGGAGCTGTGGGGCACACCCATAATACCAGCGGCTTGGAAGGGTGAGGTATAAGGATCACAAGTTCAAACCCAGCCTCCACAACAGTGAGGCCCTGAGCAACTCAGTGAGGCCCTGTCTCTCAATAAAATACTAAATAGGGCTGGGGATGTGTCTCAGTGGTTGAGTGCCCCTGGGTTCAATCCCCCGTACCCAAAAAAGGAAGGAAGGGAGGGAGGGAGGGAGGAAGGGAGGGAGGGAGGGAGGAAGGGAGGGAAGGAGGGAGGGAGAAGTATTACTACACAAAATTTTTAAATTTTCATGACAAAGAAAACAACACAAGTCAAAAAACAATTTTCAAACTTGGAGAAAATGTTCCACAAATGAAAAGCTAATGTACCTCACATGTAAAGAACTCTTAAAACTTGAAGGACAAAGATCCAGAAATCTCACAGAAAAAAAAGGGTCAAGACTCCGTCTACGGGTTAGACTCCTTCTACTTTTTACCCTTCTTTCCTTTCAATCTCCCTCACTATTAGACACCCAACACACGCCCTGCGGCCTCTCTCCTCCCTCTTCCACAGCCTCTGCCTGCCCTGCTCTTCCTGTTGACCAGCTCCCAGAGTTCTGTCCATCCCACCAGCTTCAGCTGCTCAGTGGATGCACATTTATCGAGTGCCTTTCGTATGGCAACGAGGATACAAAGGCCAGTGTGCTCTGGACTAGTCCAACAGAGCTTCATGGTCTGGCGCAGCAGTTCTTATCCACAGGGCATGTTAAATTCACAGGACCGACGTCACGGATCTGTTGGATGCCTGTCTGATTTTCTGTAGGCTCTGACTTAGATCCGACTCGATCTAATCTCTTGCTGTGACTCCACCCTTTTTCCCATTGCACCTCGTTGACTCCGAATCTCCAACGTCTTCAAATCCAATGTGTCATTTTCTCCTCTGTTCTCATGGGAGACACTCATCTCTCAACGCTGGTGTTTATATCATTCTGGCTTCTGTTAGGGCTCAGTACCCCGGGCCCTGACTGCTCTGGGCATTCCTGCGTCTCCCAGAGCACCAAGCACCACCCTTTCTCCTCCACGTCGATACCAGCAAACACTTGTGAAGTCGAACCGTATGTCATTGGTTCATGGACTAAAACAGGAAGCAATCATAAATGGGGAACCTGAGCTCTTAAGCACCTGGTGACCTGGCCTGCACCCAGGAGGACTTTGTATCTTTCTATACGTACCACCCAACTGCACGCAGTGCGTTCACTCTCTCGGAAAACCAGCTTCCTGCAGCAAAGAACTGGAGACAGGAGCAAGAGAGACGTCGTGGCTGCTGGCAGAGCAAGGTGAGTTTGCTGAATCTAGTGGTTTCTATGGATCACTGAGGTTCAGTGATAAGTAAGGCTTTTTGCCAAATGAGATCTGTGGGAATCTGAGAGTGGATGGAGGCCCTCGCGGGGTTGATGGGATTAGCTTTCATGGGTCTGCTCCAAAAAAAAGAAAGAGAAAAAAAGAGAGAGAATGTTAAAGCCACATCAGAATTTATAAGTGGCCTAGAAAATTAAGCAACATAATCCCCTCGATGAGCATCTGCTGCACTGGCCTTGTGCTGTCCTTGAGAGGGACGACCTCCATTCAGCTAACGTGTATGTGACTGGGACCTTGGAGAATGCACTTTTGCTCCCCACTCTTGGTTTCCTTCTCCAGAAAATCAGAGAATTGAGCTCAATGTTCTCCGTTCTCCAACTAGATACTTTCCAGTTCTGGCATTCCACTATTGGGTACAACTAGTATACACAGAGCATCCCGCCAAACACTGCTAGACACACAAAAATGAAAAGACAGAGCTTCTGCCTTCTGGTGGCACCAAACCTGCCAGGCCTTCCTTTCCTCATCAGTGAAACCTGCCAATGGAGAAGGTTAAAGGAGATGCACTTGTAAAGCGTTGACTGCCTGGGAGTCTAAACTGGCCCGTACCTGGCGTCTAGTCGTATCTCTAAAAGGGGATTAGTAAACTCCTCTGAGAAGCTCAGATGAGCAGAAGCCAAAGTCCTTCTCAATTACTTTTTTTCTACAGTTCTTTTTATTTTTATTTGTTTTTAAGGGGGGGGAGAGAGAGAGAGAGAGAATTTTTTAATATTTATTTTTAGTTTTTGGTGGACACAACATCTTTATTTTATTTTTATGGGGTGCTGAGGATCGAACCCAACACCCTGTGCATGCCAGGCGAGCGAGCTACCGCTTGAGCCACATCCCCAGCCTCTACAGTTCTTTTTAAACATAACATAAGGGCATAAATAATGACTCTATCACATTTGGGTTTTAACAGCATGAATTCAATGACTCCAGCAGGCCCCATGGCCAATTCTGTGTTTGTGGTGGCACCCCACAATGGCTATCCTGTGCTCCCAGGAGCTGCGTCTCAGGTGCCCCTATATCCAAACAACCAGCCTCAAGTCCACCTAATTCCTGGGAACCCCTCCGGTTTCGGGTCAATTGTGAATGGCCTGGTTCCCCAGAAAGTCTTGAAAGAAGGCAAGGTCTTAGGGGTAAGTGGAATCTCAATCTGCAAGCCAGTGGCCACGGGCTGATGTTGGGGAGCCAAGGGGAATTCTGGGAAATGCACCTCATCCAGCAGGTGGGGTGGGAGCTGAGATGGCCGTGCCCAACCCACGCTTATTAGAAAACTCAGCTGTGTGACCACCCCAAGGGCCTCAGTATAAGGCCTTTTATTTTCTGATGTAGGCATTTTAGGACAGAGGAAGAAAAGCCACAACGACGACGAAATAAAGCAGTGACCATGTGGGTCCACAGTGTCTCAGGAAGAAATGGAGTCCCACAGGGACAAAGTAGGCCACAAAGTGGAGTCAAAGCCCAGTGTGATGAAATCAAACCTTCACCCAGTAGAGCGGACAAAGGAAAGTTAGACAACCAAACATCCACAACTAACCCTGAGAAGTGGTGGTGGGTAGGACAAGGGAGGACCATTTCATTGGATGGCCTAATGATGACATGCATGAATTCTCATCCAGAATGCCCAAGTCCCGATCCTGGCCCCACAATCCAATACTGCTCATGGGAGTGTAAATTGATACTGTCTCCATGGAGGGCAATTTGTCTCTGAAAAATTTACAAAATACCCAGTGATTCCATTTCTGATTCTTCATTTTCCAAATACGCCTACAAGAAATGAATATTTCTGAAATATTCATTGCAGAACAGTCTGTAAAAACAAAAGGATGGAAACAACTAAAATAGCCATCAACAGAACACCAGTTAAATCACTGGATTGTACATCCATTGAATCAAATATAGTGGAGCTATGAAAAGAACAAGGAGACTCTTTATGTAACGACAGAGACACACTCAAAGGTGCACTGCTCACTGGAGAAAGTAAGGATCAGACATTGTGTATAATTGCTATCATTTGAATAAAATTAAGGAAATAATATATTTATATTTGCTACCATACCATGTTTGTGGTATACAACATACATATAGATGCGTAGATACAGATAGATAGATAGATGCCATTTATGAAAAAATGTATATGTATTAGCCTTCTAGAACTGCTATAACAAAATGCCACAAAGTAGAGGGCTTAGAACAATAGGGTACACGGTTCTATAGACTAGACATCTGAGACCACATGTTGTTGAGGTCATACTCCCCCTGAAGGCAGTAGGGGAGAATCTATTCCAGAATCTATTCCAACGCAATTCTGGGGTATATTGTGTATTGTATCTTATTACCAAGGTATATATTTGGAAAGGAATAACAAAAGGTTATACAACAAAATGTAAATGTTCGTTTTCTCCAGGTGGGAGTCAATGGTGCGTAGATCTTGTTTCCTTTTCGTATTTCCCACATTACCTTTGAGACCTGGAAAACCAAACATTTACTAAAATAAAACAGAGGCTCAGGGGGGGGGCAGGGTCCAGCCTCAGACACAAAAGCTTCCTTGTGACTCTCCCACAGGCCCTCCAGATCCTCATTGGCCTGGTGCACATCGGCCTGGGCTCCATCATGGTGACCGTGCTCTCTGGCTACTACGTGCCCATCTCCTTCTATGGAGGCTTCCCCTTCTGGGGAGGCATCTGGGTAAGGAACTCCAGTCGCCCACAACTGAGTTTCCAGAAGGTGCCCACGTGCTCAGGGCCACCTCGTCAATGTGTGCAGCCTGTCCCCTGCAGAAGGTCCCCATCCACCAAGTGCAGAGTTTGTGACAGCTCCTGCAACAAAGTGTCACCAACTGGGTGGCCTAGAGGATAGAAATGTTACCTCCCAATTCTGGAAGCCAGAAGTCCAAGGTGTCAGCTGGATTGGTTCACCCGGAGATCTTCTCCTCCTCCTGTGTCTTCCCATGGGTCCCCTCTGGGCCTGTGTCCTAATTTCCTCTTCTTGTAAGAACACCAATTGGACAAGTGCCCACCCTGATGACCAAGTTTATCCTTATTTAGCCGTTTTAAAGGCCTTACCTCCAATACAGTCATATTCTGAGTTATTGGAAGCTAGACCTTCAGCATATGAAATTTGGAAAAGAGACACAATCCAACCCTTAATATCAAGTTACAGCTTTGTGGGTGGCATTCACCCAAAGAGGTTATCTTTCCTAATTCACTGCGACCAGGGAACCTTCTCTGAGTTCATCGGCCCAGAGGTGGCTCCTTTTCCTAATTCACAAAGACGCACCCACTTGCAAAAGAGACGTGAGGGACTAGGTGCTCAGGTGCTGCTCCACAGGGTCCCAAAAGCCTGAGCTCCAGCAACAAAACACTTGCCAATTTTGAGCAGAGGCTCTCAGCCAGGGCAGAGCAAGTGTCTGTGTGCTCAAGTGGGGGGGGGTTCTCTGGAGGCCCCATCCTGGCAAAATATCTAGTAGAGTAGACATGCATTTTTTTTTTCTGGAAAGGTCGATAGCTTTAATCGGATTCTCAGGGTGATCTGTGGCTCCATAAAAGGTTAAGAACCCCAGTGCTTCCTCTACTCCAGCTTAGCCTTTGTGACTCTTTCATTCCTCTCGCCGGCATCCTAAACACACACACACACACACACACACACACACACACACACACACACACACACACACACACACGCACACACACACCTACCTTTCTCTTTTTCTCCCTTCTTCTCTTACACAGCCTTTCCCTGGACCCACACACCCACCTGTGACTCAGCCGTGACTTCTCCCACAAACAGCAAAACGCCACAGTAACCTAGATGTCGGCCTTGCCAGCCTGTCCTATATCACTTAAGTGTCCTGTAGCATTTAAATTAAGTAGCCGAGGGCCGTCCCCGCTCCTCACGGCCACACAGGGTCCTCAGGACCACAGAGCTGTGTCTCCCTCTGAGCCCCCGCTCCTCTTCGTCCCTCCAGCGGCTCATCGTCCTAGGCTGGGCTCTATCCTCTGCACAGACCCACACTTGGAAACCCGCCCCTTCCCCCCCCACCACCAATGACCCACAGATGCCTGTGCCCACACCCGGACCCCCGTGGAGTCTGGGGCTATGGTAACATCACAGCCACGCAGCCGCCTGCCACGAGCATCGGGTTCCATGGAGTGTCCGGGGACTGCCTGGGCCCCTGTGGTGGGCCTTGCTGTCGTCTCCCCGCCCTCCCGGTCTCAGGGCCCTGCAGTCCCCACAGCCTTCCCCCTTTCCTCTGGAGGGTTCTGCGCTGTCTCTCTGAGGCCAGGACTCTGCTTCTACTTCCCAACGGTCTCTCATGTCCTCTTCCCAAGCCCAGGCCCTTCCTTTGGCCCCTCAGGATTGGCCGTACACGCCAGGCCCAGCCCTTTCCTCCCTTCCTGTCAAGTCTCTGTAAAGGAGGGCTGTGAAATTGAGATCTGCTTTTCCACTTGTAGAAAACTAGAGCATCCCCCGTAGGAAGCAGGAACGGGCAGAGTGAGCTCTCCCTGCAGCCAACGGCGTCCACTCGGGGCACGTGCCTCAAGATTCTATTCCCATATTTAAAATGGGGAAAATGACCACGAGGTCAGCTGTCGTGCAATTAAATGATGCAGGGCTTCAAAGGTGTTTCATGTGGCGGGGAGAGAGAGTCACAGGACATGGCTGCTAGTGGGTGTGGGGCTCTTTGGGGATTGCTGAATTGTTCCCAACTTAGATAATAGTGATGGTTACAAGGACTCCATAAATATACTGAAAATAGTTGGATAATATGCTTTGAATAGATGAATTGCATAGTATGTAAATTATCTCACTGAAAACATTTACAAAAAAAATAGCACTCAGCAAATCCTAGCTCATGCTTCTCAGAGCACGTTTGCCACCACACTGGGCAAAGGATGGCAAGTGAGCCCATCAGGCCCAAGGCCTGCAGGATACCAGGGTTGGAAGGAAATGCACACAGTCTGCACCACCATCCTCAGCATCAGAGGCGCAGCATTTACTTAAATAACCCAAAGATACAGTCCACGTCTATAGACAGGCAAAGACTATTTCAGGGCTTGTATGTAAAGGCAGAAAGAAGATGCTGGCAGTCTTTTCCCTCTTCCTTCCAGAGCCCCAGACCTCACGGAACATAACACAAAGACTGGAGAGCCAAGTGCACATGTAGGGAAATGAAAGACAAGGAAATAAGCTAACATTTATTGATCATCTACTATGTGTAGGATACACTACGTGCCAGACGCAGGGTGTAAGTTATCTCATGACAATGATGCCTTGCAAGAGAAGCAAATTTCCCCATTTTTCAGAAGAGGAAATAAATACTTAGAGAAATTAATAGCTTACCCAAGATCATATGAGTTCCCATTTCAAACCAGCTCTGCTAGATCCTGACACCTGTTTTTATCACCTCACTGTCCTGTCACGCGGTGCCAATCCGCTCATTTACTTTGTCCCTCATGTTGAGCCGATGGCCCCTGCAAAGGAATTCAGTGCGTGCTCCCAGAATCCCAGACACCTGAGGCAGCAGGGTGCTCTCACCCTCGACCCCTTTTAAACTTCCTCTCTTCTGCACCAGTTTATCATTTCAGGATCCTTCTCGGTGGCCGCAGAAAATCAGCCCAATTCCTCTTGCCTGGTGAGTTACGTCCTCAGACTGTGTCTCCCGGTCAGGGACCTATGGAGGACAGGGGCCAGGGAAAAGGTTACCATGCCATCCTTCCCCCTCCTTGACCTCCTATGACCAGACCCAGGGCTCCCACGCACAGGCTGGCCCCTGCGTGAGGCCTCCAGAGCCCTGCCCTGGAGACCAAGTGGGAAAATCCCAGATAACTCAGGGGAGGGAAGGAACGACACAGTCAGCTCAGTTAAAGTCAGGAGAGAGGTGGGAGGGAATGAAGAGTGTCCTCCAGAGGCCCTCACAGGGGACACAGTGTTCCCCAGAGTACTGGCCTCCTCTCTACTGAGCAAGGAGCCAAGCATGCCTGCGGCCCACAAAGCAGAGCTCTGGCCAATCCTGGGGGGCCGAGGGAGCCTCCAGCACCCCCTTCCCTGAGGAATCCAGCCAGCTGAACTCGAAACATCAATGTGTTCTTCCCCCCAGTGGACCAAGATGGTACCTTCATTTCTCTGACAAGCAGGTTTTTCCAGGATTGGGGTCTCAGGGGACCAGGTCCCTAAATCAGATGAGATGAATTTGAAAATCTCCAAAGGGATCATTAAAATGTCTGGGAAAAATCTTTCTGCACATGGGCCAGAATCATGGAGCACCCAAGCCCATCACATGCCCAGACACTGCACTGAGATTCCTGCCTGTCTCCTATGGGATAAGTGGGTAGGGGGTTCCCCAAGATGAACCTGGGGAACACTTTTCTAGCAATATGCTCTGTAAAGATAGTTAGATGAACTTGGGAACATCTCTTTTATTTCCCCCTCTCTGGAATATCCACCATTCTCATCAAAGGCTCTGAGAAATCCTGCAAAAAAAAAATATATATATATATATTTATCTTTATTCTACACAGCCCTTTTTTAAAGCCATAATTAAACCCCAGAGCCTTTTTAAACAGAACACTTCTTTACTTGCTGGAGAACAAGGGCTCCTGGGATTCACCTTAAGAAACACTTTTTGATTAAAAGAGGTACAGAGACAGCTGGTGGTAATGGTTGTATAACAATATAAATGATTTAATACCCCTGAACTATAACACTTAAAATGGTTGAATTGGTAAATTTGAAGTTAAGAACATTTTAACACAATAAAAATACCAGGCTGGGGTGGGGCACTTGTTGAGTCTCTGCTTATCTTAGAATCCTTTTCTCTTCCCACCATGACCCTCTGTGTCGTCTTCAGCTGAACAGCAGCGTGGGCTTGAACATCTTCAGCGCCATCTGTTCCGCCGTGGGAATCATACTCTTCATCACGGATATAAGCCTCGTCGGAACTTATGCCGACCTTCATTATCATCCTCCCTATTATAACTGGGGTGTGGTGAGTATCCCTCCCAACCGGGGTCCTCTGGATCTGACCCAGGAAACTGCCAGAAAGAGTCCGACAATCAAGCTTCCCTCTCCGAGCATTGAGGGCAAAGAAGCTGCTGTCGGAATCAAAGTTTAAAGTCCCTGACTTTTCTCAATGTTGGTCACTGCTTTTATAAAATAGTACATACTTGGGTCCATGTTGGGAGTTGTCAGCAGGATGGCTCATGCACCCAACCTGCCCCTCCTCCTCTCACATTCTCAGTCCCCTACCCCTTATCAGAGAGCAGGAGTTGGCAAATGCTTTCTGCAAAGCACCAGAGTGTATTTGAGCTTTACAGGTCAAATGATTTCTGTTGCAGCTATGGCAGACCTTTAGCAGCCACAGAAAACATCAAATGAATGAGCATGGCTGTGTTCTGATAAAACTTTATTTACAAAATAGGCAGGGGGCAGGATTGGGCCCCTGGACCCTAATTCCCTAACCTGTGTTATCACTGGTACTGTTCAGGGGGAAGAGCATGTAAGCTACATATGGGATTTTAAATTTTCTAGTTGACACATTAAGGGGAAAAAAAACATCAGGGGAAACTAATTTCAATAATAGACTTTGTTAAAACTAAAATATCCAGATTTTCAATTGCACAAGCCATCAGGGTAGAAGATCATGAAGTCACTATTTTGCATTTTGAGCACTGAGTTTTTGAAACCCAGTGTGTGGTTTTGCATTAACAGCTCATCTCTACTTGATTAATAGCCACATGTCACGTACTCAGTAGCCACATGGGGATCGTGGCTAATTAACCGAACAGGCCAGCCATAGATGAGCTGTGTCCCCTGTAAATCCTGTCCTCCATCTGCAAAACTGCCCAAGTCCTCCCCCACCCCCTCCCCCTCTCCCCCATCTGCCCTCTACATCATCGAGTCCCTCCTTACTAGAGCATTTCCATCAGCACAGAGATTCGGTCTTATTTCTTTCAACTTGAAAGACAAATAAATAAAACTTCCTTTGGTCCCACTTCCCCGATCAATTACCACTCTATTTCTTTAGTGCTCTTTGCAGAAAATTCCTCACAGAACATGCCTCTGCTCACCGTCTCCAATTCTCTCCCATTTTCTCTGAAATCACCCAGAC